CTTCTTGGCTCGTTGTCTTCAATCACCAGTCTAGAGGATGTTTTGTTTTTGAAGTTTATTGTAGAATTGGGGATAGGGATGGGAAATTGTAGTAGGACACTCCAAAATAATAACTATTCACACTGAAGACATCTAGCTGATCTCTTAGTTGAATACTTATGATGTCTTGGCTGACAGTAGATAGCAGGCTCCTCTTGTAACATATAGCAGCAAGTAGTTTTAGGAGCAAGCAAAATCCATTTAGCTGTAGCGACACTTGGACAAGCTCTTCAGAACACTAGCCAGTGTTCCATTTTTCAGACCCAAACTGACTATCAAGCACCAGAGGGGTAGCAAAGCACACAGAGTCTCCAAGACCTCTCAGTGTCTGTACTCACAAGTCCAAGGACAGAATGGTTGCTTCCTTCCAATCTTACAAGTGACTCTCTCCAGTGATACCAGACCGATCTTTGGCAGACAGCTCCTCTCAGTCAGCTTCCTGAAGAACCAGTGTCACTCTCTCTAACTTCAGGCTCTAAAGTTGAACCACCTGAGGACACATAGCAGCAAGTGCCAGACAAGGCAGCCTACCTGCAGCCTGGCTGGTGCAATCCACTCCTGGGAAAGTCACTGTACCCATGGGCTCTCAGAATATAAATACCACTCCCATCATTCAATGGGGCAACTCTCCCCTGCAATTGGCCAGAGCTGTATCCATTCATACTGTGCATTTGCCTAGCCCCTACCCATATTTTGGAAGACTCTCATAGCTTCCTGAAGGCGAGCAGAACATAGACAAACTCCAATAGCACCAGGGAAGCATGAGCAGACCCAACCCATCAATCACAGCACTCTGTCAAGCAGAATACCACATTGAATTGACTTGACAGCCCCTCTGGTAAGCAGAGAAACACAACTGTGCTTAACCTACCTATACACATCCTAGCACCTGACTAGGAGGGTGCTACACTCATGTATTAGGAAATGGATGTACCACCTTTTTCAAACCATTTCCTCGTTATTATGAAGTGAAGGTGAAGCTTATAGACATCATCCTTAAAGTGATAATAAAACAAATTGTAGTGAGCGCTCTTAAATACATACAGCAGCTTGAACACTCCAGGTAACCATAATACCTTCAAGATATATGTATATAAATGTAAATAATAACAGTGCAGCGCTCAAAATGAATTAAAGGCAGTATAAAGTCTATGCGATATCCACGGTGTTGTCTGGATTTGATGAAAAACTTCCAGAATATTTACTGCTTCAAATAATAGCAATGCGCACTCACCAGAAACGCATGGATTATGCGCATGTAGGAATAATCATCCTAGATGTCAGATCCATCGAAGACCAAGTGGTGGGCATCCCTCTCACGGTGGGTCATCAAAGACTCCAAATCAGATCCAGAGGTCCCCTTAAGGTTAGTCAGGTAATCCACACTGGTAGTAATGATCCCTCCTCTGGATGGTATAGGCACCTTCTCTTATTATCGGTAGTTAGTTCATCATTTCTCTGAAGGCACTTAGGATTTTCAGCAAGTAGTCCATGCAGTAGGCTCTCACATATCTTCAACAAGTCCCAGACTAGTGGGTGAACCCTCTCTAGGAGATGCACACAGCAAAACCACCATCTCCTAGAGAGGGTTCACCAACTAGTCTGGGACTTGTTGAAGATATGTGAGAGCCTACTGCATGGACTACTTGCTGAAAATCCTAAGTGCCTTCAGAGAAATGATGAACTAACTTCCGATAATAAGAGATGGTGCCTATACCATCCAGAGGAGGGATCATTACTACCAGTGTGGATTACCTGACTAACCTTAAGGGGACCTCTGGACCTGATTTGGAGTCTTTGATGACCCACCGTGAGAGGGATGCCCACCACTTGGTCTTCGATGGATCTGACATCTAGGATGATTATTCCTACATGCGCATAATCCATGCGTTTCTGGTGAGTGCGCATTGCTATTATTTGAAGCAGTAAATATTCTGGAAGTTTTTCATCAAATCCAGACAACACCGTGGATATCGCATAGACTTTATACTGCCTTTAATTCATTTTGAGCGCTGCACTGTTATTATTTACATCATCCTTAAAGTGCCTGATGTCACTCCTATGCTCCGTGAAGTGAAGACAGCTTAGGAAGTACAGTGTTATGTACTACACCTGACGACAAGAAAATAGCTCTGTCTGTTGAGGATAGAGAATTAATCAGGGTTATTCTTCATGGATAACTCCAAAAGCTCGATTGCACCTTTACAGACAAACCATTTACCAAATATGGTGTTCTCCCAGTGGCGAACAGTCTATATGATCCACTGGGTTTTGTAGCTCTTATCTCCACGCAAGGGAAATCCTTACTAGGACAGTCATCAGAGATTACTAAGGACTGGGATTCTTTGCTACCAACTGACAAATAATCACAATGGGATTCATGGGAATAATCTCTACATGCCTTAGATGGGATTCAGATACCATGTTTACCACTTCCATTTTCCTTGGAAGAAAGGAGATTCATACTTTCTCAGATGCATACACTGAGGCCATAGCAACTGTTGTCTACCCCAAGAAAATAGACTCTTGTAATCAAACCCATGATGGGTTTCTGTCGGCAAAACCAAATTGGCACCTAAGCCTGAACATACACATTCTGGGGTTGAACTTTGTAGGATTGTGCTAGCTGTGGAAATAGCAGACTTCATACTGTGTGAGCTAGACATTGAAGTAAACTATGTCCAATTTGATACAGATAGCAAAGTTGTTTTGGGCTACATACTGTATACAACCAGCCAAAACACTTCTATGTCTATGTCAGCAAGTACGCAAAAAGGATTAGGAATTCCTCCTAGCCAGAACAATGTTATTATGTTCCATCTGAAAATAATTCTGCAGATTATGCAACAAGACCAGTGTCCACATGTGCCTTTGCAGATTCTTCCTGGTCAACAGGCCTAGAGTTCCTGCTGGATCATGCAGAAGAAATTACTGCTGACTTTTTCAGTCTCCTAGAGCCTGACAAAGTCCCAGAGATCCATCCAGAAGTTAATCAAAATCTAAAAGTTGGACACTGCTTCCTGCACAAAGACAAGCAAGTTTAGAGTACAAGCTGGCCCAGGGATTTCAAGCCTAGTGATTAAGGCAAAGTACACAAGACAGAAGTGAATGTCAAAAGACAAGGTACTGTAAAGACTTTCTTCAGAACTATCACTTAACTTTTACTGCTTTTGCGTTTTGGGAACTGAACTTTGTTTTACCTGCACTAGACAAAGACATTTCATTTTCTGATAACCAGCAGGAGAATGTATCAGTAACATCCAGTCTTTATATGTTAGACAATACAATACTTCTTGCCTTAATTATTTAGGTTATGTATTGCATTATATGCATGTTCTCATTTTGTTCAGGTTGTTCATCTTTCAGGTTTATAAAAAATATAAAAATATAAACATAAAAATAATCCCCCTGCGCTCCACTGGTATGAACAAAACAACCCCAAATATATGCAAGCTGCTACCACCTATTCCCAATACCACAGGATGTATGACATAAAAAAAACAATATTGGTGAAGCGCTTCACATGAAAAGCTAAATAAGTAGGTGCAATGATATAAAAATACATATAAAGTGACCACACTGTATTGAAAGGTATAGATAACTAGTGCTAAATAATCCCCCCAAAAAATATAAGTGCCAAGTGCTGAAAGTGCAAAACAGGTCATGCGTTTGCTGACTAGATCGTGCCAAAATACAATATAAGCACAGTAAACATAATACACATTAACATTACACATTCTAACTGAAAGTGAAAAGTGCTCTGTATGGGTATGAATATTGGTTTAAAAGTAAAATCCACAATAAAGTGCAAAACAGGTCATGCGTTTGCTGACTAGATCGTGCCAAAATACAATATATGCACAGGGAAATAATACACAATGACATTGCACACTAACTGAAAGTGACAGGTGCTCAGTATGAGTATGAATATTGGTTAAAAGTAAAATCCACAATAAAGTGCAATAACAAAGTGCTTGACATTTCATGTGCAAACACCGCGATGTCAGTGCTTCAATTCTTCACCTCCTCACTCCAAACATGATGCGTGTTAGCATGCCACATGTGTATATCGTAATCCAAAAGTGGCTAAAGTGCCTCCTCACCTTAACCATGCGACCCCTAAAGGCCACAATGCTTTAGGTAATACAGCTCCACCAGACTGGGGATCTCTGTAATATTACTCCTGTAGTACCACTCGATCTCCTCTGCCAGGTCACTTATGCCCTCAGATGGTAATACCCCCGGATAATCACAAGGCCATAGAGAGGTAGACAAAGAGAGCCTCCATAGTGAAATGCCGTTTATTCCATATAGCAGATGAAAACAAGCCAAAAGAGAACACTCACAGTATAGCAGATCTCATCCAGCAGGTCTCCCATGTACTGTGGGTGTACTACAAGGTGCTGGGTGTTCAAAGATGGCATCTGCCGAAAGTGCGTAACCAGAAGTACGTCACCGCGCTCTATGCCTTACTCCACGATATCACGTGGCTTCATCAGGATCCTGATTATTACAAATGACTCAATGACCACTCAGTTCCTTATTTGTTACCGTGCTGTCACAGGGATAGCAAATGACTTGAAATGCCAAAGAAGATCACAGACAGCAATAAAAATTTGACCAAATTCATTATTTTCCCAAGTGTTCCCAAATCTTAAAACAAATTGGCTGTGTTGAGCTTATTTAAGCTGCCTGCCAATGTACTTATAGTATTTACGATCTGCTGGTTACTATCTGTAGTTCAACCTAATTCTTCTCTGATTGCTGCATTTATAGGAATCATTTAGGGCAAAACACGATTCTAATGGAATGGTTTCTATGCCGAAACCATGAAAAATATACAACAAGCAAACGCACACCAATATCTCTCATTTAATCCTAAAACAGAGGTTGGATTAATCAAGATGAACACTCTGAAACATTACATACATAAAATATGGATACTTCTCAGCAATACTCACCAATAATTCCAGTTGAATAACCCTGTTGCTTTAATATCTTTGCAAATGTTGTTTCATTACTGGGAAGACCACCAGATGCAGCATTCCACATCAAAACCTCATAATCATTGTGACCTGTCATGCCTAGACATAGGGAAATGGATCCAAAAAAGAGAAGCACCAATAGTTATACTAAATACAGAGAGGAAATACATTTTATGAGAAAAAAATATTTTTTTCCTGTGTGCATCACAATGCAACATCCATAGAAGAAGAAAATGTATTTTATCATCAGAGAATGAGTTTGGGAGAGAAGGTCTCATAAAACATTGTAAAAGAGCACCAGTTTGCCCAAAATAAATGTAGAATGATTTTATTTTACTTCTTCTTAATATTAATTATCTTATTAGTACTATCTTAATAAATAATATTAGCCAATTTACAAAAAAACTAAGCTGATGTTTGGCACCCTGAACATGTCAGATGCTGCACTTGAAGAATGAAATCATCCAAGAGGTGCTGGAACTTTGATGTGAGTTCTTAGACAGAAGCAAAAGAGCAAAAACTTTGCAGAGCTCACTGGGTCAAGTTAGACTGCTCACAGCTGACAGAGCTACTGTGCAGTAGGTGCCCAGCAGATTACCAGATTACCAGAAAAACGCATATGCCAATGGAAGGAGTGCCAGAAAAAATAGAAAAGTCAAAATTAATTGATTGGTTTGCACTAAAAAAACAGCTAATGCATATTGAGGGTCTGAAAAAACTCCCCCTGCATCAGGTCATCAGGAACTGCATTTCAGGCACCCTATATTTAGCAAGTTGGCCACCATTGCACTGGTGGATGTTTCAAAGATATATATATATATATATATATATATATATATATACTTAAAGTGGTTGTAAAGGTAGAAGGTTTTTTTCACCTTCATGCATTCTATGCATAAAGTTAAGAAAAACCTTCTCTGTGCAGCAACCCCCACAGCTCCCCCCTCCCCAATACTCACCAAAGCTTCCTCTCGATCCAGCGATGTGCACTGGAGTCTCGGTTATCCTGGGACTCCCTCTCTTCATTGGCTGCTGTCAATAACAACCAGAGAGCAAATAAGGAGGGAGAGGGGGCGGGGCTTGGTGTCAATGGACATCAAGCCTTGGGTGCCCACATAGCAAGCTGCTTGCTGTGGGGGCACTCAACAGGAGGGAGGGGCCAGTAGCGCCTCATGGGCACCTGAGAAGAGGAGGATTGGAGCTGCTCTTTGCAAATCCACTGCACAGAGCAGGTAAGTATGGTATGTTTGTTATTTTAAAAGAAAACATGTTTTCCCTTTACAATTGTTTTAAGCAAGGGGAAATGTAAAAAGTATTTTTTCATGCCCCTGTTCCAAAATCACCTGTGTGCTTGAGTGCATGAAATTCCATGAGAATGCGCTTCTGCAATGTGCTCTATCTGAAGATCCGCTTTAAATGTTGTTAGATGAGCGCTAAATGACCAACCTATATGGTCTTTGGGAGTCTGTGAGTACAACTCACATTCCTGGTGATCACTGGGAAAGGAACCGAGGGAACATTTTCCCTTCAAAAACACAAACAGCAATAAACATCCAAAGGTGAATCTAATCCTTACCCATGCTATCCTAAAAAATAACACTTTTGCTAAGGTCCCTTTTTCTTCTTTTTCTTATTTTCTTTCATATTTTCTAAAAGCAGAGGCACTTTAGAATAAAAAGGTGATAGTTGCAAATTTTTATGTCGCATGATATTTGCGCAATGGTTTATTAATTGCAAAATTTTCAGGAAAAAAATATAATAAAATGAATTTTTAGTGCAAAAACACACAATAGAATGCATATTTTTGGTTATCATATAAAAGATGAGGTTACATCAAGTAAACAGATACCAAACATTAGATGTCTTAAAATTGCATGCACCTGCGATAGCACTAAAAACTACGGTCCCCAAAAATCACCATAGCTGACTCTTTAAAAGCATTTACAGCTCAGTAGTTTAGAGTTAACTAGGAGCTCTGGTGCTAGAATTATTGATCTCGCTCTGACATTCATTGGGATATGTCACTCGTGAGGTGCAACCACGTTTTACCTACTTGTGCACACCCTGGGCTTGCGTTTGCGTTGATGTGCGGGGCAACAGGGGTTATGGCAATTTTTTAAATTCTAATAGATTTTACCATAGTTTTAATGTTTAAAACATTTTTTTTTTTTTACTTGATTGCTTTCACAAGGAGTTAATAAACCCCTATGTGATATCATGGGGCAGGTAACAGGTATGCTTTATGGAGACATTATGGGGTTTATTTACTAAAGCTGGAGAGTCCAAAATCAGACTCCCTTCTGCATAGAAACCAATCAGCTTTTAACCTCAGCTTGTTCAATGAAGCTTTGGCAATGAAACCTGGAAGCTGATTGGTTTCTATGCAGAAGGGAGTCTGATTTTGGACTCTCCAGCTTTAGTAAATAAACCCCTATGGGTCTAATACATTTCAATGTCTCCCCTGCCCTTCACACCATCTAACCAAAGACAGATCGACTTGTTTAGATGTGTCCCCTGGCTGTACTGGCCAGGAAAGTGTGCATCTGAAAGCAGAAGTGACATCACTTCCGGTTTCTCAGTTTCCATGTGAGATTGAGGCATGTACTTTCCTCGGTCTCACAGCGCTCTCCATCCCCTAGCCAATGGTTGTGTTCCTGGGCTCTGGTGAGATCTGAGATCCTGGGAACCATGGGAGGAGGGGGGGCCGCTGGTGGGAGGGGGCACCGTGTTGCCGGCTCTGTGAAAGTGATCAGCAGCTATGGAGCTGTCGCCTCACTTTCACGTTCAAGCTGGCAACCAGCCATCAACCTGTGATTAAAGGTTCACTTTTGGATATAAGTTAACTCTATGTGTTTTTAGATGTGACTTTTAAATCTGTTCATATACGTGAACTATATAAAAAGTTTTATATTGCTGTAAATGTTTTATCTAATTTTGCTGCTTAATAGATATGTACTTGGAAAAAACATCTTGTGTTTTTTTTTTTTTTTTACATTGTGGGGTTATTACAGTATCTCACAGAAGTGAGTACACCCTTCACATTTTTGTAAATATTTTATTATATCTGCCATGAGGTGCCATGTTGAACTTCCAGTGACCAGTATGAAAGAATGAGAGTGAAAACACCAAATTTAACACACCTGCTCCCCATTCACACCTGACACCTTGTAACTCTAATGAGTCACATGACTCCGGGGAGGGAAAATGGCTAATTGGACCCAATTTGGACATTTTCACTTAGGGGTGTACTCACTTTTGTTGCCAGCGGTTTAGGCATTAGTGTTGTCATATGAAAAGATAGAATAAAATATTTACACAAATCTGAGGGGTGTACTCAATTCTGTGAGATATTGTATGTGTATTTAGTGTAGTTTATTTTATTTTGGGATCTATTTATAAATGTTCACCCAGGATTTACACATTTTTACATTTGAATAAAAAAAAAAAATCCCAGAGGATGAGAATTGCAGGTTTAAAAGCTTAAGGAAATAGACCCCTTAGTGCTGTGTTTTTTTTAATTTGTGTTGCCTTGTGGAAGGGATCCAGCACATCCCTGAAATGTTTGCTTATTTGACCCATGTGACATTGCACTAATAAATGACCGTATATGTTTGCAATGGAGTGCTGGTGATGCCTCGTCGATTTAGGGATCCGTAAACTCCTTTTCTCTTAATATTTTGGTTCCCGCAATCCCCTGGGAATGTAAGTTTCCCTGTTTCCTTCCCTCAGCAGCTCAGAGAGATCACACCTAATGAGCCAGAGATGGCTGGGCATGTGAACTGCAGCCAGGTGTATGGTGCTCCGCTGGTCATCCCTGTGTGTGGGCAGCAACCCAGTAACATGCAGCTTCTATGGAAGACTCAGCCACTGCAGGGAGCACTACTCCATTCCTACCAGAGTACTCCAGAGGACTGTGCTTCAATTGGGGTGGCCCTATGTCTCCAGCCACTTGCTTGTATTACCAGCTCTGAGATGCCTCCAACTGTTCACTTGTGTTATTAGACCTAGCCTGGATTTCACTGTAAGGGATGCTGTCTGTAAGGATAAGTGCAAGTAGCTGTTTTTGTACTTTGCTGTACAATTTAACCACTTGCCTACCGGGCACTTATACCCCCTTCCTTGCCAGGCCAATTTTCAGCTTTCAGTACTGTTGCGCTTTGAATGACAATTGCACGGTCATGCAACATTGTACCCATATGACATTTTTATATTTTTTTTCAAACAAATAGCGATTTCTTTTAGTGGTATTTAATCACCGCTGGGTGTTTTATTTTTTGCGCTATAAACAAGAAAGTGCAAAAAATTTGAAAAAAAATTTGTTTCTATTATAAAATTTTGCAAACAGGTAAATTTTCTCCTTCGCTGATGTGCATTGATGAGGCTGCATTGATAGGCACTGATAGGCAGCACTGATGGGAACTGATAAGCGGCACTGATGAGGTGGCACAGATAGGCAGCACTGATGGGCACTGATAGGCAACACTGATAGGTGGCACTGATGAGGTGGCACTAATGATGATGCATTGATATGCAACAATGATGGGCACTGATAGGCGGCACTGATGGGCACTGATAGGCAGCACTGATGGGAAGCACTGGTAGGCACTGATGGGTGGCATTGACTGGTGGCACTGACGGGCACTGGCTGGCGGCATTGCTGGGTGGACCTGATTGGCAGCACTGATGGGTGGCATTGATGGGTGGCACTGCTGGGCACAGGTGGGTGGCACTGGGCACTGATGGGCACAGGTGGGTGGCACTGCTGGGCTCTGATGGGCACAGGTGGGTGGCACTGCTGGGCACTTATGAGCGGTACTGGTGGGTGGCACTGCTGGACATTGATCATCAGGGCACTGAGGAAAGTGCAGCCAATAACCGTCAGCTGCATTTAGCGGTGATCTGCTGTGTCATTGGACACAGCAGATCACATATTAAAAGGCTGCTGTGATTGGCCTTTTACCACATCACGTGATCAGCTGTGTCCCCCGCATACAGAAGGGCACATTCTGGGAGGATGTCATATGATGCCCTCCCAGGACTGGACAACCACGCTGTAGCCGTCAAGTGGTTAATGGAGTTGTAGTTCTTCTCTATATTCTGTTCCTATAGGTCTCACTAGAGACTTGCTACCTAATGTCCTTATTGAGTAACAGGGGAATTGCTTTTAGGGGCTCATATTAGCAGTAGCTACAAAATCTATTTAAAACAGTTCTATACCACAGGGGGGTGTTTAAGTCAAACCAGGACTTTTGATTTTATATATTAAAAAAACAAATTTCAAGCGGAAACTGAATTTATTTTTCGACATACTCCCCTGCTACATTTATACACTTATCCCAGCATTTAACTAATATCTGGAAAGCTTCAGCATAGAAAGATTTGTCAGTATGCCTGAACTATCCTAGGACAGCCTGCTTCACTTCGTCATCAGAACTGAAATGAAAGATTTGTCTCTTGTGCAATTTCATGCCAGGTTTTGTGCTGATTATCCAGGATAAGGTGTTCCATGTGCTCAATGTTCACAGGAATGAACAGGCTTCACAGGCTTGGAACCACTGCCGGGATAGTCACTGGAGGATGTACGGCCATCTTTCAAACATTTACACCATCCAAATGTCTTACTGCGGCTGAGCATCTCATCATCATACTGTACATGAAGTCTTCTGTAGATATCCGCGGGTTTTGCGCTTTTGTTCACAAAAAACGTCATCACCACACACTGATCTATGCACGTACTAGCACTGTTTTCTGCCATCTTGATTAAAGTGAAGTTCTGGCCCCCCGCTACCTCCCCCCAAAAAATGTGAAGTCAGCAGCTACAAATACTGTGGCTGCTGACTTTTAATAGTAGGGCACTTACCTGTCCAGGCATCCAGCGGTGTCCTCACCCTGAGATGATTCTTCAGTCGGCTGGGGCTGCCATCTTGACTAAGGGAAACCGCTAGTGAAGCCTTGCGGCTTCCCCACCAGTTTCCTACTGCACATGCTCAAAGCGCACTGCATTTTAGTGAATGGGCTGCAGTCCTGAGGGACCTCAGAAGTGTCCCAGAGGGCTGCAGGGGGTGCCGAACATCCAGCTCAGTTCACCGTGTCAAACTCAGCCAGAATTCGGAGCAAGTACCTGTCAAAACCCCCCTCCCCCCCAAAAGGTGCTAAATGTGGCAGCAGAAGGGGGGAGGAGGCAGAATAGCTGAGCTTCCACTTTTGGGTGGAACTCCGCTTTAACAGTCTCTGTACTGACACTCAACATGTGCGCCGCTTATCAGCTATAGGACACACTTGCCACTTACTACTGTGTGTAGTACTGCCATGCTAACATTCCGTTTTATACCAGTACAATTAAAAGTCCCGGTTTGACTTGAATGCCCCTTGTAAATACATACCCTGTTTGTATTGTTGACGTTGCTCTGCATCTGTTTAGTAAACTTCATTTTAAAGCTACCCTTTTTCTGCTCATTTATCTAATTATGCATACTGTTAGAATAAGAGAAATGTACATTTAATATATACTGTGTATTTACAAATGTTCAAATGCCAAATATTCTGTTCAATTTACTAATATATTACCTGTTCTTATAGGATATCGGCCGGTCAGAAAGGCTGATCTACTTGGGGAGCATAAAGAAGCTGCAGAAATATGATGTGTAAGTTTCACACCTTCCTTTGCTAATCTGTCAATGTTAGGAGTCCTGAAAAATGACAATTCCTAAAAGTTAGTAAACTGGTACCTGAAAAGAAAACAAATAGAAATAGGAAATGTAAAATGAGCCTGTGCTTGCCCCATTCAAATATGTGGCATCTGAAAGCAGAAGCACAGAGTTCCAGACTGTTAATGCTGACCAATTCCAGGCAGGCCAAAACAGTACGATGGGGTGTTCATCAGTATCAATTCTATAATTACATTTTATTTTCTGAGGGTTAAAACTTTCCCTATGCCCTAATAAATTTTAAAACACTCATAACACTTTTCAAGCAAAAGAATAGAAATTTGATGATTAAAACACAAAAATCGTATTTCTTTTCATGTAAGGCAAAACAACATCACAATCCTAATAAATGCTCAATTAATTGTTACCTTATTGTATTATTCCCAAAGCATCCAACGTCTCCAATTCCAAGATCATCAGCCATGATTAGTAAAATGTTTGGCTTCTGACCATTTGTTATATTTGTAAAAATAAGTAGAAAGTAAAGTATAAATGGCAAATTGTCCATGACATTCCTGAGAAAGAATAAAATGTGTTACTCTATTACTGGCTTACTTAAAGTGTTACTTAAAGTTGAAGTTCTGGTTCTTGCACCTGTTTAACATAGAAGATTGAGGACTAGTTATGAGATGAACATACCTACATTCGTTTCAAGCAAGGCTCAACAAACATGACTAAAGTATCGGTGCCTAGGGTCACTAGGACAAATATAGTTTGAATCTCCCGAGCGAGGACCTAGACAACAATAACAATCTAAACACTTCTACACTCTAGTCATAACCAATAACAAAGTTTTGGCTTTAGATACATTTTATAGCCTTGATGGCTCTATACCTATAGGTATCAGATTTATATGCAGCTCTAATCATAGAAATGAGAGGTACATCGTACTTACAAGTTGCCTGAAGGCTGTGGGTGTGCTCTTCTCAGCTATACTATATTCAGTCTGGGTTGAATTTCAGATATAGATAGCTGTATTGTATATGTTTATGAGTGCTCCATAGAAGAATATAGATTGTTCAATATCTAACCAGTAGAACTGGTTAGAATAGATGACTTTATAAAGGGGAAGCTCCCCTGGAATGTAAGTTGTTGGAAATTGTTTAACTACCGTTCTATATTTGAACAAGGCTGCTGTTCTCAAATCCCTCAGTTTACAGTGGAACTCTTAGCCAAACATAACTGCCTTGTGTGTGAAAGGGCAATTTTGAGCTGTACATATATATACATTAACTAACAGCTTAAACATTACACAGCTGAACATATAATTCAATTATTTTATATGATGTCATTGTATTTATGTTCACCAACTGTCAAAAAAGAAAGAAATTATATATATATTGTCAAGGACTTGTTAAAGATCACCCTGTCACGTGTCCCCCCACACTCCACGCCCACAGCGACTAGCTAACCGTGACGCACGCGTGCGGCCACGACAGCGTGGTAAAGAGGGGATAATAAAGGGATTTACACTTAAATATCTCAAACCGTATATAAGATCAGCCATGATACCTTTTCACAGCCCGCACTACCTCTGGCCACCACCAGATGGAGACTCCACTCCAATCCAGCTGGTCGAGCACACACTGGCAGATATGATCTTACATACAACCTGGTGCCCTGATTAGAGTTGAGGACCAGCTTAGTAATCACACACCCTTCTAAAGGTCCCTTCAGCTATCCTAGCTTGAACCCAGGTGTTGATAACCCTTCCACTGTCCACACACCCCCACACCAGACGCACCACAAAGGTAGCCTGCCACCACCCAACATTTTATCCGCAGAACGGTCTGTTGAGACACCCCACACACACAGATCTCCGTCTGGCAGATCTGTTACCTTTGCAATCTGTGTGCAATCTGCCCACTCACAGTGCAGTTGCATACAGATTGGCAATGAGCTTAACCGAGCGTTTTAAAGGCACTAAAATACAATACAATCTAATCTCTCCAATCTAATCTCTCTGATCTAGTCTCTCCGAAGATATGAACACGTGCTTAAATACACAGAAGTCACTAATTAATTTTAAGATTTAATTTCCCAAAGTGGGCAGTGCATAAAATATGTACAAAATATAAAAAGTTACAGAAATACAAAAGATATAAGAAGACACACAAATGACTAATTACTATAAAATAAAAAGGGAATAAAAAGACAGAATAACACTTTACCCTGCGGCTGGAGCAAGCCAGAAACTTAGTAATCCATTGGTCAATCGAACCAGCTCCATATGGATCACCCTGTCCAAATGTCCGTGCGTTCAATTTATTGTGATTTGGACATGGGCGGGACATAAGTCTTTGGCCAATTGACTCTGGGGGAGGTGGTCCTGACCTGCCCACAAGAGGTACTGTGTATGGACCTGCCCAAGTTCAATTGGGCCGAGACTGGCCTGAACACCAAGTCGGGGATTGGATTTCTGACACCAGCGCGTCAGCCCGATCGCAACCGTACCAAACACCATCAGACTGTCGCACCCCCCCCGTGTCATCTAATCATTCCATGCATTTTCCTGGCTTTCTCCCCAAGCCACAAATATGATTTTCATATGCAGAAGCAGCGCACAGAATGGTCTACAAGAAGGAAGCATGTTCATATCTCTGCAACTAATATTTTAGATTTTATGAGAGATGAAACATCCTTCTTTGATGTATGATGTACTTAAAGAGCTTTCCACATAAGGCAGACAGTCTGTCTGCTGTCCTTCACTCCAAACCTGTTTTCCCAGAAAGTGATAACCTGATTGACACACAAAAGGTGTCACCTCCAGGAATCTGGCTTTTGACTACCGTAATTAACGCTAATTGATGCTAAATGTTGATTGAGTCTGTAAGGCCTATTGAGTAATTGTGTATACATACACATCTGATCCCAGACCATTTGGTTGTACCTTCTATTTGTTTCCCTACTGCCCAGGGGCTCAATGTACATCCTTAATTTCCAGACTGTTCCTGCACACACCTTTGCAATGAAAGGGCCTGACATAATCTAATCTACTCAACCTGTCATGGCTATGATTCCATATTTCCATTCAAATCTTACATGTCCGTTACAATAAATTTTACATATCCGTTACATCTCCCCTCTTCCAGATGACACATAGCTGAGCCTAAACGGGTCGGCTAACGCGTTTACATGGAAGGTTCCCTAGGTTGGGGGGGGGGGGAGTTCTCCCAACTAAAGTTTGACACCGCTGACAGCTGAGCCTGTCCCCCTGCCGATGGGAGAGGGCTTCTGTACAGCTCTCTGACTGATCCCAAAGGGTTTGGGTCAACACTGGCCAGCAGATCCCCCTGCGGATCCATTTCATCTGCTGGCCACCGACTATCGACTGGACGGGTACAGGCAAACCTGTCATTGTGCGCTGTCAACATTTTCAGCCACTGGCCAGGGTCATCTGGTGGTTCGCCATTGGCTGCAACACCCAGATGCCTGAGCCTGACATAAGGTTGTTCCTGAGTGATCTGGACCTGGTTCCATGGCTTGGATACCAGGACCTCCACCCTTGGACCTGTCTCCCACACTTCTGCTCTTTCTGCCTCAGCCAGAGTCAGCACAACCCCTGAGTTCCTCCAGCCTGACATCAAACCTATCAGCCAGCAAGAATACAGTGTTGTCAGCTCCAGCCTCTGAGAAAGCAGATTCAGAGGGGGTCAGTGTTCCCCCATCATTCTGTGATCCTTCCTTTGCTCTGCACAGCAATGAATCCTCAATCATGATACTCATAGCTGTGGGGACAAAGGATAAATCCACAGAAGACTTTATTCCACCAGGGGTCATCCTCTGACCCGTGCCATACCCTTCTACTCTGTCCTCCTCAGCAGAACATCTGTCAGCACCACCCCTGAGCTCCTCCGGGCCAACCTCAAACCTATCAGCCTGGAAGGACTCAGTGATGTCAGCTGCAGCTGCTGCAGTGGAAGACACTGATTGGGCTGAATTTGCCCCAACATCCTGCAGACTTCCCTCTGCAACACACAGAAATGAGTCTGCACTGGCAGCACCCACGACTGTGGTGACAGAGGGGAAGGTTACAGGAGGAAGGATTCCACTAAGGGCTGTCCTCTGACCCACGTCACACACTTCTACTCCGTCCTCAGCAGAGCGTCTGTCAGCACCCATGAGTTCCTCTGGGCTGGAATCAGATGTAACAGCCTCTGGAAACTCAGTGCCGTCAGCCACAGCTACTGAGGGGGTAGAGTCGGAATGAATCAGACTTAAACCCTCACCCTGTGGTCCCTCCTCTGTGCTCCACAGTCCAGGATCCAAAATGGCATTACTGGTATCTGTGGTGTCAGGGGAGCAGACAACAGAGAACTTCATCCCACAAGGGGCGAGGGGGCACACAACACTGGTCTACTGAAACCCAATGTGCCTTTTCCCCGGGGACTTCAGAAGAACATCCTGTTGCTTTACATAGGGGTAAACAATCAAAATCCTTTTGCCCATGCACCCCCATCCTGCTAACCACCGCTGGCGGTCCTTCAGCCAGACCCCTGAGATGCTCTGGGCTGCCATCAATTCTCACAGCTCCAGGGGACTCAGAGCTATCTGTCACAGGTGCCAGGTGGACAACAGTCTGAGGAGACCTTAGGCCCTCTGGGCCAGGTTCACAAGGGTCCAACCCAGCTAGATTGGGCCCTTCCACAGAGAGTCCCTCTGTAGCAGGGGGCAATGACTGGTCCGGGGCCACCTGGTGGGCACCCCGAGTCACCACTGCACCAGAGGGAAGGTCTGCCTTGCACATGTCATTACACTCATCATCACATAAACCATTATCAGTTGCAGAGTTCTCTGTGATTTTAAACTCTTCTCCAGGCCTTGACTCCAGACATCCACTAGAGCCAGGCCTTGGTATACAGTCCTTCACACCCTGCCCCTCCCCAGAATTCCCAGTGTTCATGGAGTCTGGTTGAGGTCATGACTGTGCAGGCCAGTGAGGTTCCTCCACCCCAAACTCGCTCATCCATGTTTTTATGGACTTTGCTTTGTGCACTGGTGTGCAGTCATGTTGGAATAGGAAGGGACCATCCCCAAACTGTTCCCACAAAGTTGGGAGCATGAGATTGTCCAAAATGTCTTGGTATGCTGACGCCTTAAGAGTTCATTCACTGGAGCTAAGGGGCCAAGCCCAACCCCTGAAAAACAACCATAATCCTCCCTTCATCAAACTTTACACTTGGCACAATGCAGTCAGGCAAGTACCATTCAACAGCAGGTCACATGACAGTTGTATACAATGGATGGCTTCATTCATGCCATCCATTGTATACTAGTGTCTAGCTGTGAATGGTCACAGCTAATCACATGCACATGTCATGTGATTAGCTGTGGCCAAATCACAGCTAAGCACACAAAAAAAAAAAAAAACCCCTGAATGAATCGATATCATTTAGGTAAATGCTTGCTTATAGCAAAGTAATT